TCGATGGCTCGCGCGGCCGCCGCTGCCCGGCGAGCCTCGCGTCGCTGCGCCCGGCGGCCAGAGCGCTGGGCCCGCCGGTCGGCGCAGCGCCGCCCTCCTGGGGGGAGGCGGGCAGAACGGCGGACAGAGCGGCGCTCCGTCGCCCAGTCAGCCAAGGCCCCTTCGCCCCCGCGCGCCCGCCCTCCCCCGCCAGCGGTTCGGACGGCCCCCGTCCGCTGAAGGGGCGGCGACCGCGCCCCTGGCGGAGGCGGCCTCGCGACGGTCCTGCACCGAGGCGACTGCGACGGCGACGGCGACGGCCCTCCTCCATTTGGTCCGCAAGCCCCCCCCGAAACGCAGCGGCCCCCCCAGATGGTCGATGGTCTGGTACCGGAAATTTTCGGTAGCGATTTCGACGCACCCCGAATTTCGGTAGCGACCGGATCTTCGTTTGAGGGCGTTGAAATAGCGGATTTCAGAACGCTCTGATACCGGTATTGGGCGCTACATTTCGGTATTTCGGTAGCGACCGATCTCTGCGGAGCGCTACCGGAAATTTTCGGTAGCGGACCATCAGGGCCTGTCCGGGGGCCGGCGGGCCCCCAAGGAACCGGCGGAGCTCTCGCGTAAGACGTTGCCACGCCCAGCGGCGCGCCCATTGTCAGCCCGGGGGGGGCGGCGGGCGGCGCCTTGGCGGGTTTGGGGGCGGCGAGAATGCCAAGGGAGGTGGAGGATATCGGGGGGGGCGGTGGAGGGGGGGTCATGGCGCCGCTGCGCGTCCTGCAGAGCCCTCGTCGTCGCGGCCGGTTTCCGGGGCGCCCGCGGAGGTGTGGATATTTCGACCGCTGCTCGCCAGGAAGAGCCTTCGTCACCGCGGCTACAGATGGCTGGGCCTAGCTGCGGGGTCGCGAGCAGCCGGGCGGACGCCAGCAGCGCCGTCGGGGGCATCGCGACTGGCTCCTGCTGCGCGACCACGAGCTGCGCAGGACGCACTCCAGCAGCAACATCGCGAACGACGCGACGGACCGCAGCAGCTCGACCATGCGCAACGCGCCGGACTCCGGCAGCACGACCGTGAGCAGCCAGACGAACGCCATCATTGCAACCGCGAGCGGCCAGACGGACCCTGCCGGACGGATCACGCTGACGACGGCGGCGCCGAGCCCGACGCGCTTAGACCCACTGCCCCGTCCGACGCCGCTGCCGGCGCCCAGCCCTGCACTCCCCGACCCCCCTCCCGACGAGGCCCCGACCGGCGCCCCTCGCGATGACGTCTCCCGCGGCCCCCTCCCCGGCGCTTTCCCCGGCGCCCCCCCCGCGCCCGGCCCGCCGCCGCCTCTGGCGCCCTTGCCCGCCCCCTGCCCACCAGTCGGGGCGGCGCGTGGCGTCCGCCCTTGCGGCCCGCCAGGTCAGTGGCTCAAGCCGGCGACTGGGTCATAGCCGACAAGCCGCATCGGCGTGTGAACCCGCCGCCCGCCCCCGAGGCTCCTCGCCCCCCCCCCGCGGCCGTGGGCGGCCCCGGCGCCGCGGGCGGCGCCAGCGCCAACTCGCGAGGGGAACGCCTCCGCCTGCACGGCGCGAGCCCCTGTTCCTCGTCAAGAACACCTGGGCCGCGTTGCCTGAAACCCGCGCCCAATGGGACTCGTGAGACAGGGAAAAGGGCAGGCGCGTGCTGCGGATGTCCCAACGCGCGTCCTGCTCGACTTTCTCGGTTCGAAGGGGGCCCTGGTGGCCCGCGTCAGGAGGATGCAGCAGAAAGGTGGTGAATGAACCTGGGGCGGCGCGGCATGGGTTCTGCGCTCGGCGTGGCGGTGGCGCCCGCGACCCCAGCCGGCAAGGAGCCACCTTCCTTCGCTGTTTCCTTCGCCAGCATGAGCTGTCGTGAGCCGCCCTGCGCCGCCGCTCCAGGGGGGCCCATTCGCGTGGGCCAGCGGACATCAGCAGCGCACTTGGTTCTCGCGGCCCGCGGCCCGCCTGGCGTCGTTCCACAAGCAGTGCCGCGACATTCGCGTGGACTGGGATTGGGACCAGCAGCGCCAGCGCCATAGGGGCCCCATGACCAAGGGGCGCGGCAAGGGGAAAGGCAGCGGATGGCCGGGAGAAGGCGAGCCCAGTGTCGCCACGTGTTGTCCTCCCCGGGCGGTGCGTGGCCCGTGTCCAAAAGCTGCACTGAGTAGGTGCCCGCAGTTCTGCCGCGCGCTGTCCTCCCCGGGCGGTGCGTGGCCTCCTCCGACCCATGCTGCCGCGCGGTGTCCTCCCCGGACGGTGTGCGGCTGGTCTCCACGTGATGTTGCAGTGACTAGGTGCTCTCAGTGCTGTCGCGCGCCGGCCTCCCTGGGCGGCGAATGATGGCCCCCCTTTCCCTGCACTGCCATGCGCTGCCCTCCCCAGACGGCGCGTGGCTTGATTTCCGCATGAAGCTGCGCCGAAGAGGTGCCCCCAGACCTACCGCGCACTGCTCTCCCCGGACAGTGCACGGCCTCTACCGGCCGCTCGGCTTCAGTTTTTTCCCGCAGCGCGGACCCGCACGCTGGCGCTACGCGGCGGCGGGGCCCCCCGCGCCTGGCACTGGCGTGGCCGGTGCTGGGCTGAGGGGCGCCGCCGCCCCGCCTGTTGCGGGATCCTTGTAGGCGGGGCGCTCCTCCCCCTCGCCTCCCGTCTCTCCCCCCCGCGCCGTTTCCCTCGCTCCCCTCGCGCGCCGCCATGGCGCCGCTCGCTGCCGTTCTCGGCGTGCAGCTCCCCCGCGCGACTGAGCTCGTGGACCCTACGCTACGACGCAACACCCCGGCCCAACACCCAGCGGGTACAGCATTTTGCTGTTGGGAGTCTGAAGCCTGGATTCCTCTTTCGCGTCACTTGCGCTACCTCGTCGTCCCCCACCTGGACGTCTAGACTGCCTACGACTTGGCTCTACCGCATACTGGGCACCGGCAGCGCCCGTGGATGCACCGACACCGCGGCCTGGCTGCTGCCACGGTCCCCGCTGTCGCTGCTGGCCGCGCCAGCGCGCTCGGGGTGGAATTGTTCGACATCTTGGTGCCCCCCGCGTCATCCCTTCCTCTGCAGCCGCCTTGTTTGTCTCGTTTTCACTCTTTGCACGCTTGTCATTTCGCTATTCGGTGGCCCCGGATCGCCAAGCGCTGTGTCGGAGTGTTTCGGACACGCCGAAAACGGAAAAACAACAGTTTGTTTGTGTGTGTGTGCGTGTGTGTGTGCGCGCGTGTGCGCGTGTTGGGTCGAGCGTTGTCGATTAAGCCCGATCCCGTTGATGTTTCAGTTTCGGTTTCGTCCCCATGCACGGCAGTTAACTTACCCTCACATCCGTATTACGTGAGCCGTCGATTGCATCCTACGCCAGATCAATATTCGTTTTGTTTGTTGTGTGTGTGTTGCGCTTGCCCGCGAGCTGGCCTCCTTTCGCTGCTTCCCCCTGGACGCGCCAACCACCACATTGGGCGCAAGTCACGTGGCCGCGCCCAGTGTACATTGACCCGCCCTTGTGGTGCCGCATCGCCAGCGGAAGGGGCAATCTATAGAATTACTTACTCATGGTGTTTGTGTCTTTGTGTACATCGCGCTGGGTCGTGCGCGCCGTCGCATACCACATGTGTGTGTGTGTGTCCGTGTGTGTTCGTGCGTGTGTTCCAGATCGTGCTTGTCGTTGCGCGTCTTTTCGCGCCGGTCGCTCTTGCCTGCCCCATTTACCCAGGACGCCACGATTCCGATTCGAGCTTCGAGCGCGTTCGACACACGTTCAGATTCAAATTCGCTTGCGTGGGCCCTTGGCTGCTGTCGCGGTTGTGTTGTGCATCGCCAGGGTCGGAAAAAGTGGGCACAGCTCCGGCGGGCACTCCACGGCATCACCCGACAGCCCATGTCAACGTTTGATGGCCCCGAGTCTCCGAAATGGCCCGTGCTGACCGAAATCGAAATGAAACTTCCAGGATTCTCCATCCTAGATTGCTGTGGTCATATGCCTAGCAATATCTTGCAACAGTCTGCCACGTGATACTAGGGCCCGAGGAACAAATCTTTGGGAGGTTCGGGCGGGCCGTGAGGAAATTCTAGGATGCGGCGGGCGCCAAGTCTTCGAAGTCGCCGGAGGCAGCTTCCTCCGAGGAGACGAGCAAGAAGGACGCGATCGCCTTGTGGATCATCGGGGCCTCCTGCTTCTCCTCGGGGTCCTCTCTCTTCCTTCTCCTCCCTCTCTGCCTCTCCCTCCCTCTCTCTCACTCTCTCTCCCTCTGTCTCCCTCCCTGCCCCTCTCCCTCCCCTGATCCCTCACTCGAGGGCCCAGAGGCAGAGCGTGAGGCGAAACAAACCCATGCGCATCGTGTCCCCCCCCCCCCCGGCGGTGCGCGCAAGGCGCTGCAGGCCCGCATCGCACAGCTGGCGGCGGCGGCAACCAGGTGGCCCGGCGGTTCGCCGGGCGCCGCCAGGCCGGAGGCCACGGCCAGGCCAGGGGATCAGGGGCAACGCTTTCGTCGGCCCTCGGCGGTTTTCGAGCCTCGGGATGCTGTCCAGCACGATGGCGCCTCGCCCAGGGCGTTCCTCTGTAGGCCTCATGGGTGGGGCCGGAGCGCATGGGGGTCGGAGGCGGTCGCGCCGCATCGCCGGTGCAGCGCCGAGGCGGCTCGGTGCGGGGCCCGACGTCCCCCCACGCCGACGGCGCGGATGCGTCGCCGAGGCATCGCCGAGGCGTCGCCGAGGCATCGCCGAGGTGTCGGCGGTGCGGCGCGGCGCGGTCCTCCGACCCCGCCTGCTCCGACCCCAGCAAGCAGGGAGGCCTCCAGGGCCGGGGGGGGGCCCGGGCAAGCCCCGGGCGGCCGCCGAAGGCCCCCAGGGCATGGCCCGGATGAGCCAGGGAGCGGGAGGTCAGGGGCGATGGCAGGGCGGTCAAGAGCGGGGTGATGGCTATCAGGAGGCGAAAGACATACAGAATACAGACACAAATCATCGTCGATCCCCCGGAAAATATGGGAAAATATGGGAAGTGGGGGGGAAGACAAGTGGGGGGGAAGACAAAAACACAGAAAATATAGGAAAACATGGGGAAGTCTGTTGTTTGTGCGGATTCATTTGTATGTCCCAGGGCCCCTTCAGACTGGAGGGGGGGGACACCATGGCGGGGGCCAGGAGCTCTCCCCAGGTTTCGCGGCGCCCCTTCCTGTGTCGCTCACGACGTCCCCGCCCCCCCCCACCCCTGGGCCGCGCACGTGCCGTGGGCCATGAATCGCGCCCCCCCCTTCGTGGGCGCCCCCCTTGTGGCCGCCCCCCCGAGGGTAGGCTCAAGTCGGGCCTGTCCCTCTACAGGAGGAATTCTCCAACATGGTAAGAGAAAAGCCTAGGAAAGATTTGCTGACGATGTTTGGCTGTTTTTGATTTTTTTGGGGGAGTATTGTTGTATTGCTCGTCCCAAGTCCGCCTGTAGGAGGACATGCCCGACCTAAGGGTAGCTTCAGGCGGGGGATGCAGCGAACCCCACCGCCGACAGGGCCGAGAGGGGCCCGAGAGAGCCCACCCCGCCCTGGGGAGTGCGTAGATGTGCCACCGGGGGCCTATCGTTAGGTCGGGCCTGTCCCCCTGTAGGGGGGTTTTGGACGAAACGTGAAAAATATTCAAACAATATATCCAAAAACGCCCCAAAATAGTCAAAACATCGTCCCCGGATTCTTTTTGGATTATTTTGTTTTGAAAATTTGTTACAAATCCCTTGCTAATCGTCCCCCAGGTCTGGTTTTTTAAGGCGCCTTTTTTGTAACTGGGGTGGTCCAGTTTATTAGGGCGCTTTCTCTGGATTGGAGCTTAGGGGGTCCGGTTTACGAAGGCGCCCCGTCGAAGAGGGGGATGCAGAATATCAGGTCGCAGTTGGAGGGGGAGTCCGATTGTTCAGGGGGGGAGGTCGATGAACAAGGGATTTGGAGCAGAGGGGAGGGACATGCCCGACTCAAGCGTGTCGCCAGTCGATCGACGATGCATCGCCGATTCCAGCTCGGTGCCTCCCCCAATGAGCCGGTCCCCCCCCCCCGACGTTGCCCCTCAGGGGGGGGGGGACTCCAGGCCAGGGCTGGAGTGAAGCAACCCCTTCCGTTCTCGTGCTGCTCTCGCTCTCCCTCGGTCAGGCGATCGCCAGCATACATTCAGGGGGCGTGGGTTATAGCGACGGGTCCCGCTTCCATTCGGGGAATCGCGGATTTCCGCCGCCGAGCGAGGCGGCACCGGCTGCATTCTGGGGAGAGCACCTCCCCCGATGCATGGAGTTGGCGACCGCGCGCCAAACCCATGGATCGCTAATCCATGTTGGCGCGCCCCCGACTTGTTTTGTCTTCGTTCCGTCTTTGCTGCAAGTCGGCATCAAAACGAAGACGGTCCACGAAATCGCCCAAGCACTGCTTTATCTCGAGCCCTGTTCCAGGCTTCCTGAGCCACACGTGCTCGCGCTGAGAACAAAACAAATGGCACGACGGGAGGTCTGGGGTCGTTTTCGGGTTCCGGGAACCCTTGCCCGGCCATAGGGCCGTCAAAAAAGAACGCTGGATGCAAGACTGGTCCCGAGGAAGGGCCTACGTCGTGAAGAGAAGCGCGACGTCCGGGGCCTGGGAAGTGGGGCCCGACGTGATGGTCGGAGGCGTCAACGAGTGGGGTGATGACTAGGGGGGGGGGATATCATGGCGTGGGCCATGATATTTCCCCTGATTTCATGGCGCCTCTTCTCATTTCATTACGTCCCTGGCCCCCCCGCTGGGCCGCGCACATGCCGCCCGCCATGATTTGCACCCCCCCCTCTTGGACACCCCCCTCTTGGCCGCTCCCGAGATGGGGTTCGGAGGATCTCGGGGACGGAAAGCGCACTCCTAACCCTCTCTGGGGCCATGCCAAACAGCTTCGGCTCGTGTCCGGGGACTCCTGGGCACAGTGGAAACCTGCTTGAGCAAGCGCTTCGGCCGATGCTTAGGCAGCTTGGAGGCCACGGGGGGTAGAAATGGGTGCTCCAGAGGCCCTGGGAGACCCCCTCCCTCGCTGCCCCCCCCCGTCTACTCCGAAGTCGGGCACGTCCTTCCACAGGAGGAATATTCAAGAATCATATACATGATAGTGTCCGGACGTTTTTGTTGAAACACGCTGTTTTATTAATAACATATGTTGTTGCATTATGTTTGGCTATTTTTCCCCACGTGTTTCGTGGGGTTCTGGATTTCTTCCCTGTCGCGTCGCACCCGCGTCTCCCAACGCCTCCCTCTCCTTTTCCCTCTCTTCACACAGACACACGCACAGACATCACCTGTGCAGCACAGCACAGCACAGCACAGCACACCGCAGCATAGCACAGGAAAACACAGCACAGCACAGCTCAGCCGAGCACAGCACAGCACAGCACAGCACAGCAGACCACAGGGGGTGAGCTGGGCGTGGGAGCGCTATCCGTTCCGGTCTCGCAAAGCGCGGCAGGCGTGGCACTTGCTCGTCATCACAGGGGGTGAGCTGGGAGTGGGAGCGCTATCCGTTTCGGGCTCGCAAAGCGTGGCAGGCGTGGCACTTCCTCGACACCACAGAAAATGCGCTGGGGGTGGGAGCGCTATCCGCTTCTTGCTCGCAAAGCGTGGCAGGTGTGGCACATCCTCGACACCACAGGAGATGCGCTGGGGGTGGGAGCGCTATCCGTTTCGGGCTCGCAAACCGTGGCAGGCGTGGCACTTCCTCGACACCACAGGGGTTGAGCTGGGGTTGGGAGCGCTATCCGTTTCGGGCTCGCACAGCGTGGCAGGCGTGGCACTTCCTCGACACCACAGGGGGTAAGCTGGGGGTGGGAGCGCTATCCGTTTCGGGCTCGCAACGCGTGGCAGCCGTGGCACTTGCTCGACACCACAGGAGATGCGTTGGGAGTGGGAATGCTATCCGTTTCGGGCCCGCAAAGCGTGGCAGGTGTGGCACACCCTCGACACCACAGGCAGTGCGCAAAACGTGGCAGGCGTGGCATTTCCTCGACACAATAGGGGGTGAGCTGTGGGTGGGAGCGCTATCCGTTTCGGTCTCGCAAAGCGCGGCAGGCGTGGCACTTGCTCGACACCACAGGCGGTGAGCTGGGGGTGGGAGCGCTATCCGTTTCGGGCTCGCAAAGCGTGGCAGGCGTGGCACTTCCTTGACACTATAGGGGGCTCAGTGGGGATGGGAGCGCTATCCGTTTCGGGCTCGCACAGCGTGGCAGGCGTGGCACTTCCTCGACACCACAGGAGATGCGCTGGGGGTGGGAGCGCTATCCGTTTCGGGCCCGCAAGGCGCGGCAGGTGTGGCACATCCTCGACACCACAGGAGATGCGCTGTGGGTGGGAGCGCTATCCGTTCCGGGCTCGCAAAGAGTGGCAAGCGCGGCATTTCCTCGACACCACAGGGGCTGCACTGGGGGTGGCACTTCCTCGATACCATAGGGGGTGCGCAGGGGGTGGTTTCCCTATCCGCGCCGGTCGTCCAGGGCATAGCAAGCGTGGCACTTTATCGACACCATACGGGGTGCTCAGGGGGTGGTGTCCCTATCCGCGCTGGTCGTCCAGGGCATAGCAGGCGTGGCATTTTCTCGATACCATAGGGGGTGCGCAGGCGGTAGTCTCTGAGCGCGGCCGCTAGCCACGACACTGTCGCAAAGCATTGCAGGCGTAGCAGTTTCACGACACCATAGGGTGTGCGAAGAGGGTGGCCCCTCAGCGCGGCCGCAGGGGGCATCAGAGAGCATGGTGCCGGTGGTAGTGGTAGTGCGGTTCACGCAGAACATGAAATCAGTATGTGGGTTTTCTCAGTATCGTAATGCCATTTTTCGTCTAACATCCCCCTGTAGGAGGACATGCCCGACCTGAGTCTATTCGTCAAGTCCTAGGGGAGGGGCACAGGGGGGAGGGGCACAGCAGCCGATCATCTCACGCGCCTTTGCACCACCGGCGAGCGGGGGTCGACGGACTTGTGTGTTTTCACCATGCGAGCTGGTTGAGGAGCTGGATCGAGCAGATCGTGCCGCTCGCAGTGAGGCGAAGCGCCTTGGCCACACCCACCCTCCTTGCAGAGGGCTCAGCAATCGCATACGCAGGAAAGTGTATAGGCTTCGCGCGCATGCGACTCACATGTTAGAGACCCGTGAGACGCCCTGGGCCACACACTGTTCATGCCTTATGTTTCGAAAGTTCTTTGATTCTTGCTGGGGGCCAGGATCCTTTCATTTCTCATTGTTATATCCTTGGCTCCTGGCCACTAGGGGCCAAGAACAATCAGAAACGAGCACGACTAGAAACGAGCACGATTCGAAATGAACGACGTGTAGCCTTGCAGCATGAATTCACGTCGCGAGCATGCCAGGGCCCGTGCTCCCACCCCGCAGGCCGCCGCCGGGCTTCGAGCAGCCCCGGCCAGCGGCGCCGACCCCTCCGGCGTCGACTCGCGCGCGCCTCGGCCGCCGCGCGGAGGGCGCGCGAGTGCCGCTGGCCGCGGCCGCCCGCCGCGGCCGCCGCCGCCATCGGTCAAGCAGTGGCGAAGCGTCCCGGCGTGCCCATAGGCCCACCAAACAATGCTCTAAGAACCGTCTGTGGCTTCCACGAATTGTTCTCAGAACATGTTTGGCTGGGACTGTCCTGTTTAACACCTCGGGTGTATGCTCTGAGAGCACTGTTTTTGTTCTCCGAAAATTGTTGGGTTCTAGGAACGTTTCGTGGTAGGCCTACTGGAATGCCGGGACGGTCGGTCCCTGCTCAAGTCGACTAGACGTAAAGAGTGACCTTTCGCCGGAGTGACCTTTGGTGCGGGCCCAGTGGGGCCCCCCGATCGCCGAACGCGATGCGATGGCAGCGCCTTGCGCGCCTGTGTTTGGCCCACCCGCGGCCCCCAGAAGGCCGCGCACCGAAGGTCACTCTTACACGCGGGTCGTTGAAAGTAGGTATTTCTGGATTCCCAGATCCCAATCTACTTCAAGCGCCTTCCTACTTCAAGAATCGACACGCTTTTGCTGCGTTTTGTTATTATCTGGGGGGGCATGGGCCCAATCTGCTATATCCGCCTTCCTACTTCACGTTTTTCCTTACGCCTTCCGACCGACGTGTGCCCAAAGGCCACCCCTGCGCGTGGCCGATCACGCACCACAGGTGCGGCGGCTTGCCACGGTGGTGCTCTGCCCCCCCCCCCCCCGGGCGGCCTCCGGAGGCCACGAGGGAGCGGGTCCGGGGGTCGGCGACTGGCCCCCCAGGGAAGGGGTCGAGAGGTCTGGGGCGGGCCGAAGAATCGGAGAGGGAGGAGAAGCGATACCAACACCACGAGGGGGCCCACCGCCAGCGAGGAGGTCCACGATGCCTCCCCGAGCTGGAGGCCGGGGATGTCTCGAGCGAGAGGGGGGGGCCACACCACCAGGGAGTTCCCCCTTGCCTCCTCGCATCTCCTCGCCCCGTTGGTGTTGGTGTCGCCTTCCTTTGTCCCTAAAGAAGTTCCAACGTCGGAGATCTAGGATTATAGCGGCACGCGAGGTCCGATGGTTGAGGATCGAGGGATCGAGCAAGCGAAGGAGTGAGAAGGCACAGCGCAGCGACGAGAGTGGAGGGGTGATGACGTTCAGGAGTCGAATCGCCCCCCTGCGTTTATCCCAATCCTTCTGTGATGGTTTCTCGCTTCTTTAATAGAGCACCGTCTGCTCCGATCCTCCCTGTTTCCTCCCCCCTCCTCGTCCTCCGCTTTCCTCCTCCTCCTCCTCTTCCTCCCCCCTCCCCCTCGTTATCCCCAACCTGCCTGTGTTGGGTTCTCGTTTTGGACAGAGCACCGTGCTGTCCAAGACTCCTCCCCCCCCCTCCTTCCTCCTGCTCTCCACTTCCTGCCTCCTGTCTCCTGTTCCTTCTCTTCCTCCTCCCTTCTCTCCTTCCTCCTGCTCGCACTCCCTGAGGGGGGCTACGAAGTGCGCATTTGTCGCTGATTTCGTGGGCTCCTGAGAGGTCCACCAGGATGGAGGTGTAAACAGACCCAGCCGAGACCCCGCGGGACCTTCGGGGGCTGCGAAGTGCGCAAGTGTCGCCAGTGACGGCGCCGATGCTGATCACGCCGACAACGATTACGGCGCCTTCGCGTCGGTGATGAAGTTTTTGGAAGGAATTCGGCCTGGTCGCGCGGACGACTCGCTAGAGTGGCCCGCATGGTATTATTTTACGCGGATCGTCCCCCCCCAGCACGCGCGCATGGACGTTCGAATGGTTTCGACTTGCGGCGCAAGGGGCCCGTTTGGTATAATCTCATGAGCATGTTGAAACACTTAAGGTAACATTAAGAATTCGCACGACAGCGAGCACAAGTGTTTTTTCCCCGGAAGTTGAAGTTGCAGAAGCATGCGTTTTGTGTATACATTCATATATAGATATATACACAGATATATGTATATGTTTTGTGTGTGTGTTTCGGAACTCTCGATTTTGAAATCCTCACGGAACCTAAGGTGCTTGAAGGATTTTGGCATGCGCGCGCGACGACGCGCGCGCGTGTGCATTTCGTCAAATTGTTCGCAAAGGTTTCGTGCGACAAAACGCACGCGCAAGGGCGTCCGTGCGATTCCTGCACGCGCGCGCGAGAGGCCCGTGTGGTAGCATGTTGCGATAATGTTGAAAAGCCGATGGTTTCCCCAAACATCAACAACAGCCCGAACGCAATTTTGTGTTGAAAATCATTGTTTGGAAACCATGCGCTTCTGTTATGTATTCAGCGCATTTGATTTTCAAATCCTCTCAAAGCCATGAGTTTCTAGAAGGGTTTCACCATGCGCGCGCGACGACGCTCGCGTGTGCACTTCGTCTTGGTTTGTGTTTGCAAGGGTTCTTGACAGCTGACGATGATTGACAAACGAGTGTGCGCACATAGTGTATGTTGCAGAGGATGAAGGGGGGGCGTTGACTGGGCTGATCTGATTTCATATTTCGGATTGACGGTGTGGCGGGATCGAGTGTGAATTGCAATGCGAGAAGGGGACCCGTCAAGTCCTGCGGGGGGATCCGATTACTCTTTGAGAATCTAGGACGGCGACGAGGGGACGACGGCGGCCACTAGCCGCCAAACCGATAGACAGGCCCAGACGACAGGCGGCGACGGGGCGGCGACGGCGGCCACATAGCCGTCAGACCGACAAGCCCAGTTCCTCAGAGCAGAAGCGAGAACCCGCAAGTTCAAGCGCTGTGTGGGGGAAATGTGGTCGTATCGTCGGAGATCTGGGGAAGGAGGAAGGATGGCTCCTCGTCCTCCTCCCCCCTCTCCTCCCAACAAGAGGTGGAGTGCATCGGCGAGCCCCCAAGGTGTCCCCAATCGGGGGGGGGGTCGTTTTTGCCAGGGGTATCCCAATTCAGAGCCCCATGGACTATCGAGCCCCTTAAGTGGTTTTCGAACGCCTGGTCCGCTAATCTTCTTTTTTTCGGGTGCCCTGGCTGCATCGCTAGTGAGAGGCTCATCATCGGGCCATGGGTGCTGCTCTGCTCTGCTCTGCTCTGCTCTGCTCTCCTCCCAGCTCGCCTCCCCGTCCT